TTTTTCTTCTCTTTATACTTCTCATGTATTCTTTCTTCCTACTCTTCTCTGATGTTTACTCACGAAACGAAAGAAAAAGTTGAAGTTAAAGTTCCTAGCAATTAACCTACGTCAGTTGGGGCTGGTACCGCCACTGGTTCCACTAGAAGTTCAACATTTCAATCGATCTTCTTATGTGATACTGCTTCTCTACCTGCTATAGATACATTTCGAAAGCTGTAATCGGTTCTATCAGTAGGATGAACGTTCACATTGATTTCACCTGGATCACGAATAGGTAGCATGCTTATTTGATTCAATGTTGGCGTCCGTACTGCCGCTGAGTTCTGATCAAAATGAAATATTCAGGAGAAGTTCAAACTCAACAAGCATGGAATTCATTGGCTTCCTCCTTTCTTTTTTCATCTTAATTAAAATTCGGTCATTTCGATAATCAAGAGAAAGAGAACTACTCGTAACACATCGATCATTACTCTTGAAACTGACTGAATTGTCAATAGTTGAGGTATATTTGTTTTTACAAAATCAATCATTCATACATCGAGGAAAATACGAATTAATTCATCAAAAGTAAATACCAATGTTACAATTGTTGCCGACTTCTTTTCTGATTATTGATTTGTAAGTGAACAACCGCTTAACAAGGAAAATAAATGAATTTTGTTGTCATATTTATATGAAAAACAGTCTTTAATGTTGATAACAAACGTCTTCTTTCTTGTTGTTTTCTTGATACACATAGAATGAAGAGAAGAGAGAGAGAGAGAAAAAACCAACAAAAGACAAGAAATGAATTTGAAGATCTTATCGTTTCAAGAAAAAAAAAGGAAAAACAAGATGATCGGTGTAGCGCATAAACACATACACAAATAATAAGACGAAAGAAGAAGAAGAAACCATCTATGAATAAACATAATCGCAAGGGAAAAAAGACACATTTTCATAGCTGTTGCTTTTTTTTCATAGAAAAAACAAATGAATACAGAAGCTTGACTACACACTTTCTCATTTCATTGAGATTCACTCGTATACCTAAACGAGAAATGGCAATGACACCTGGAGAAAAACGTTCATTTTATCCATTACTTTTTCAACTAATCATGTGCATAACCAGGACTTCGACGTCGGCGTTCACCACGTCGAGATCTTGATCGACTGCGAGAACGTGATCTAAATCGATCCGGTTGCTAGGAGGAAACGTGTTTTAGAGTCAAAAACAAACCTGGATGAATGATCGTGACGACGGTGATGATGGCGTCGATGGTAAGATCTTCTATCAGGTGATGGAGAGCGGCGATAACTATGGCCATTAGAACGATGGTAGGAATTCGTACGGACGCCCATATAAATTCCAGGTGCTTGACACAAAGAAGAAGAGAGATAATTTTAGCCGAATAGAATTTACACAATGTCTTACTTGGTGTATGTGCACGTTTCGTTACGGAATAATCAATACGTAGACGGTGATGATCCAGTTCGACTGCATTTAAAGCTTCTTTCGCCTAAATAAATCTCGTGCGTGTACATTCAAAACGGAGACATTGGATTTTCATGCGTACTCGTGTAGCACTTTCGACTTCTTCGAAATAGACAAAACCGAATCCTCTGGATTTATTCGTTTTTTTATCAATCACAATCTGAACATCTTTGATACGGCCAAATTTATGAAAGAGATCTAGAAAAGTAATCAAGGATTCCTGTAGAATTTCGTCTTCTCATAAAACTAACATACCTTTAAGATCGCGTTCCTTTGTGTATTGTGACAGGCCGAATACACCGAGAACAGGGCTTGGAATTGGATTCTCTCGATGGACTTCATTTGGTGGTGGACGACGATCACCAGGTGGACTGCGTTTTGATCGATGATTTGATGGTGAACGAGAACTATTTTAAATAAGAAAAATCTCAAAAATATTTTGAAAACATCATCTGTCTTTGTCATCGCTCGAACTACTCAATCTACGCTCATGAATATAAATGTGCGAAGATGAACTTACTATCTTCTGGGTGAGGGCGATCGACTTGAAGGTGATCGTCGTCGAGATCGACCACTATCTCGTTCTCGTGAATACTAAATAGGAATCCAAAATAGATTTCTCTTTTCACAAATATCATTTTTCACTTACTCCTCGATCGCTCATGTTGCGCCTATAGAATTCTAATGAGATACGAAAAAGAAAAACAACAAGAAACAAACAAAGACATGTCATTGTAGCGACATACTGCAATTTGATTGGTCGATTTATTTGAACCTATGAGAAAACGATCATGTGAATTCATTGTGCCCTGACTCATTTAAACAAGAGGCAAAGCAAAAGAGCGCTATCTAGCTTAGCAAAAAAAAGAGGAGAAAGTTTCATCACATTCTTCCTGTTTGTTTATTTAGTTTGAAATAATGAAATTTCGCTTGAAATTTCATACGTCAACGTATTTAATCAGTCCAGATGATATTAACGACGACTTATCGATCGTGGAGTTGAAAACTAAAATTAAAAAACGGTTTTTATCCTTGAGAAAGTAAGTGTTTATTTGTCTCGAAAAAAAAAATTTCATTTTGTTCGTTTCAGGTCAAATTTTCATTTATCCGTTAATGGATCAACTGTCTTAAGTGAAGAAAAAAAATTATCAGAATCTGATCTTCATGTGGGAGATGTTGTATATGTAATCAATGAAACGATGTCTTCATTATCAATGGACCAACCGTTGACATTAGATGAAGTGCGAGATATACACACGTATCCCGTTGTAATGCATCGTTTGGTGGAATGTTCACATCCCGAAAATGACTTTGATTTCATTGTTTTGGCGTTACATGCACTGATGTTGGAAAGTGGATTTCAAACGGTAGGAAAAACTTGATTTGAAGTTTTGAATATATTTTTTATTCGTTTTAGGATACCGACAATGACTATGATTTGACGAAAACAAGAAAGTCATCGACATTCTATGTTATTCGCTATCGTCATAAATTATGTGAAGAAGAACGTATTCGATGTTCATTAGCAATCATGAAAACTGATTCATTGGTGACTATTGATGGTAAAAGTTCAATTGATTGCTTGAACTATATTACATTATGTCTGTGATTTGTTTCATTCTAGGAGTTGTTAATTCCATTCCACAAGCATGTGGAAAACTATCATTTAACATTGCGAAATATTTGTATACACAAAAGGAAGGTAAGGCAATAGTTTCGTTACATGGATTATCCATTGATTCTTTTTTTTTTCTTTGCTTCTTAAGCAATGGTTCTCGATGCTGTTCTTCCATACCATGATCTACAACATCTTTCTCGATCATTCAAAGATAATGTAGCGAATCGTTTGTTGTGTAAACTACTGGAAGGTAATATTCTGTCTTAACAACATTTCATTTGACATAATTTTTGCTCTCCAGAGTCAGGACAACGGTCTAGTGCGACGTTGATTGGATTGCCCAATGAAATTAAAGTATGCCACTTGAATATTTTGTGTATCGATGTAAAGAAATTTCTTTGTATATTCTAGCTTCGCCTAGCAAAGTATCTTCCGATAAAATCGCTACTAGCTCTGCAAGCCACATGTCGCGACATTCACAATACATTAAATGACAATCTTCTTTGGCATGATCTCTGTGTTCGTGATTTTGAAAAAGCGGGTAAGAATGTTCATTGGGGAAGGAAAAGCATGTATATTGTTCATTTGTACTTAGCACTAGTGTCAATTTCTCAAACATCGGATAATGCAGCAAATGAAAAGAATTGGCAGAAACTTTATCGAATAATAAATGCTCAAAAACAACCAACGCCTCGTCATCAAATCAAATCCTCTCCGTTTTTTCATCCGACACTATTCTCATTCTTTCCACCGAATCATCCAACACATCGATTACTCTTTCCAGATACCTCACCTCCATTTCATCCGTTTTCACCCGCAATCTACCGACCGATTCCACCAGGCATTTTTCGTAAGTTGACTTTTGTTAGAACGACGTCAGCTAATCGATGCTCAATGTTCAAAGGTATCTGTACAGCAAATACTCAACAAGCTCAATCACCTCAACCGCAACAAGCTCAACATCATATCTACTGTCAACCATTTTTTGGCTTAAAATGGGTTGTGATTTTCGCAGGTAAGACTTTTGCATTTGAGTATACAACAGCCATAACTTTTCTTTGTCTATCAAAGCGGCTACAATGATTCCAATCCCACCATGTTTTCATCCTGTTTGGCTTGGCTAAAAAATTCTTCTTAATTCTCATTTAACCACAATCGTTAGATTTTCACATATATACATATATATTTTGTGTTGCAATGTATATAGACATATTACGGTCTCTCTAGTGCATCTCACCCAATATAATCGTTTTCTTCTTCTTCTTTGTTTCGATGTGTAATTACGGTGTGTGTTGTTATTGAACATTTTCTTGTGCGTGTGTGTTATTACTAGTGATCTGCAACTCCTCTACTCTCTCTCTCTTTACTTTTGTTTATTTGTTTGTTTTATCTTTCTCTTAATGAATAAGAGAAGATAGTAGTTGATGTGCTTTTTATTATTGTATCAGTGTGAAATAGTAATTTTTTGGAAAAAGCAAAATTAACAAAAAATAATTCTAGCATGAAGCTCTCATACATTACATATATATATATCTTTCTCTGCGTCGGGCATCATTTAGCTTCCAAAATCATTTACGGGTGTTGTGTTTCTAACTCTGTCTATCTAGCATTCTGTCGAACATTGATTTGTATTGTTTGTTTTCTCTCTATCTCTTGCACACATTCACTCTTTATGATATTTGTATTAACGTATGCTTAGATAGCAATACTTATCCGAAAAAAAAAGACGTTGATTTCGTTTCGTTTTGTAGACGTGCGTGCTATATATTTCTTTCAAACATACATTCAAGCATATAATAACCATCTTGAGCGTTTTCATGTATACCCGTTCGTTTATTATATTAAATAACATATACATATATATATAATCAACGTTGTTTCTTTTTTAGATACATTCGTACCAAAATGTCATCTTTCGCGCCGAATGATGTACTTTTGGATATTGAAAAATTGGAAACAATGTTAACCAATAGTAGCAGCAGTAGTTGTGATTCGTCATCGTTTAATTGTCCATTGTTGTCACCAACTTCCCGCTCATTAACTGCAACCGCACGGTTTACCGGTTCATCGAAAGTTTATTTAAGAAATTTAAATAAATTGCTAGCAGATATTGAGCAAAAACAGAAGATTCTATCAGTGGGAGGCGGATCAGTACTTAAGCGCTTGCGTCCAGTGGATTCGTCGTCATCGGCACGGCCATTGACATTTACTTCGTTATTTCCTCGACCTTCAGTTAAATGCGTGTCCAATAATCGATTGGAGCCTAAAACAATTTCCTTTGCTCAACTTATCACACAAAATTCGTCGTTTTCCATGGCTTATTCCAATCATCAGTCTGAATATGGTTGTGCAAGATTAAACGAAAAGATGTGGGTTGTTCATTGCCGAGAACAATTGACTAAAGCTGTCACTGACGAAATGCATGAATCGGGAAGAGCAGAAGTAAGTGACAAAATTCTTGAAAAATATTGTCTAGTTTATTTTCTATCCTCTTCGCACTGTTAGAATGAAGTCAATTGGAATCACATATCGAATTATCGTCTCAATAATAAATGGTCATCGAAAGTATGTCAAAATGCTTGGAAACAACTTTGTAATCCTCGAATAAATCAATCAAAATGGACAGTTAAAGAAGAACGTCGATTAATATCTATCGTCGAACGTGAGCCATTAAGTGCCGATCGGTGGCCATCGATTGCAAAGGAATTAGGAACGGATCGAAGTGCGTATCTCTGTGCAAAACGTTATATGCAGGTAAAAAGATCGAAATCTTTCATACTTCGTTTTCTAGAGTGAGAGCT